TTCCTGCTATCTGCATTGACATATCCATTTTTGCAATGGCAATAACATTGAAGTGACTTGCCATTGCCTTTGTCCGACCCCCCCCCCCCCCCCAGCAATAGCTTGGGATAGCCTGGTGGTTTCCCATTGTACTAACCAGGTCTGAGCTTGCTTACGTTCTTGAAGATCAGCCATGGTTAACTAAGTACTGCTACTTGTCATATACCTTGCTGTTTAATATTTGAAATCAAAAGAGTTAAAAATAATAACTGTAACACATAAGAGAGAAGTTACCCCATAGGTAATTTAGAGAAATCCTGGGTTAAGAATATGACGTCTTCCCAGACCAAACAATGTATAACAAACTTATTTTAGTAGACAAGTTTTTCTTGTATTAGAATTAGAGAAGATAGGCCTGCAGTACCTAGATTCCAGGTGAAGTTGCTACCATCTTGCTAATGTTTAGCTAATGCAAAGCTTACTGAATGGATGGAATTCAGTATCACCAGGCCCCCACTGTATAAAATACATCAATGGATTTGTGAATAAGTCTTGGGAGTAAACAACTGTCAACTTCAACTGTATTAAAGATAAGGGCAAAATGATCTGTTTTTAAATAATACTTCACACTTTTCTGGTCTGCTTTTATAAAACACTTCATATATTTTATATGTATGATTTCCCATTTTCTTTAAGAAAGTAGTATATGCAGTACAAATGTCTAAACAGTCTTCCAGATGAGACTTCTGTGACAAATTATTTAAATATTGAAAGAGATGTAAAATTTTTAGAAGATTATATAATTGTCTGAGAATTAAGATCTTTTCAGTCTTATGGGCAGGATCTATAGCTATATTAGATACAGATGTGTGTATAAAATCAAGGTAAACAATATGCATTTCTGTTTATTTCATCTGGGCAAGACACATTATTTTTGTCTTATGTTGGGGATTCACTCTGCGTTACTGCATATATCCTGCTGTCAAGTATTTTATTACTGAAAACCACTTAACATATTGTTTGTTAATAACTTACAAGAAAATCTATTCAAAACTAAAGTTCCTGAAGGTAAATAAAGTGCTGGAATCACCTTATATGCTAAGCCATAATGAGACTTGTTTGGTGTTGGGTTGTTATGTTGTGTGAGTGCAGTGCTTGGACCCCATGGTTTGTAGCATGTTGTGTGTGACCACAGATTGCCTTTAGAAGGTAATATTTCTGTATTCTACTCATTTTCTTATCGCATCTGGTGAGTCTGCTTGCCATGTGTTCATGAGAAGCTTCCCTGTTCCCAATATCAAACAGTTCCAGACATAGAAATAAAAGTAGCAAAAGAAAAAAAAATACAACAAGAGGATGGAGAGAATCCTTCTTGTATACTAGATCAAATTGGTCCACTGGAAACATATCAAAGAATCAAAGAACTATGGTCCTTGATAAAGAATTCGTGATTGTGCCTGGATTCTAAGTGGAAGTGGAGGCGAATCTTTACTTAGTGTATTGTGTGAACCCATGTTGCAATTTGGAAACCATAGTTTATAATTCTACATTTTCTGTGAGTCAATTGTGGTTTGTTTAAAAATCATGGATAGGCAAGCCATGGCTTTGTGTGAGGGGTGAGACCAGTCTGCATAACTCAATCAATTGTTTGTGTTTATTGCAATATCATTAGAGTTTACTGATCTCTCTTTTCTCTTTCTTTCCTTGGGGATAATGATGGGGTCCTTTCTTGCCAGTCTTGCTTTGCGTCTCCCCTGTTCATTCTGTGTGGGCCTGTGTCCGCTCCTGTCCCACCAGCTGCGTCTGCACTGAAGAGAAGAGTTGCTCCATTCTTTGTGACCGAGCTGGCCTTACACAGATCCCTAATGAGTTTCCTTGTGAAGCATATTCTATTAACCTGGATAAAAATAACATCAAATTCCTGGCTGAGAGGGCATTTGGTACCCTCCCATCCCTCAAATCTCTCTCAATAAGTCATAACAACATATCCTTTATTACTCCTGGTGCTTTCAAAGGGCTTGCTAGCTTGACTGAGTTAAAAATGGCCCATAATGAATACATTCGTTATCTGCATACCAGGACTTTTATTTCTCTCCAGAGGCTAGTCAAATTGGACTTAGCAGACTGCAATCTTTTCAGCATTCCAGACAGGATTTTTATAGAGCTTCCAGCTCTTCAAGAACTCTTTTGCTTTCAGAATAACTTCCGAAGGATCCCAGGAGCTATAAGAGGGATGGAGAATTTGACCCATATTTATTTGGAGAAAAACAAGATAGAAGCAGTAGCATACAATTCACTTCTGGGCCTGATCCGGTTGAAATATCTCAATCTGCAAGTCAACAGAATAAATGTAATTCATAATAGAGCTTTTCAGGATTGTCAGAAATTGGAGTACCTTTATTTAAATGACAACTTAATCAGTGACCTCCCTGAGAATTCCTTTGATGGTCTGTGGCATCTAAAAATGCTTAATCTTGGTGGCAACTTTCTTAGGAATGTCTCTAATACTTGGTTTCAGGATCAGTCTGAACTGGAAGTTTTGTATTTGGACAGAAACTGGATCAGCTATATTGAGGAAGGTGCTTTTGAAAACCTCACAAGCTTGGTATCTTTGCACTTGAACAGTAACAATCTAACCACTTTGCCTTTCTTAGTTTTCCAACCAGTCTACTTCCTAGGAAGACTCTACCTCTTCCGGAACCCCTGGGAGTGTGACTGCAAGATTGAGTGGCTGAAAGAGTGGATGGAGAATTATGGACTTGTGAGAGATATTGCTTGTACTTCGCCATCTTCAGTAGTTGGTCTTGACTTAATTGATGTTATTTTTGAGAAGACAGTTGAAGGTTTCTGTCTTGACCCAGAAGAATTAAATACCTCATCTCACACAACTCTTCCCATGCAAGAACTACAATCTACTACACAGAATAAATTCAACAGTCTTATCTCAAAATTTCTACTCCAGAAGGGACTTTCAGAGGAGGTGGTAAACACCACAGAAGGTTTCAGCAATGCTACTCTGTTAGATGAATTGATTAATGAAGCATCTTTAGAACTAGGAGAAAATAATATAAAACAAGTATATTTTAATATTTGGGTATTCATTGTATCTCAAGCATTATGGACCATATAGCCCAAAGTAGTTTAAAAATAATTATGTTGTTTTTCTATTGTAGAAGTTAATTATCCACAATACTCAAGCATGGATCAAATACAAGACAGTTGTGATAATTTAATACTATATTTAGAACTAAATCTAACAATATCTTCTGGGCCCATATTTTAAAATAGATTCAGATTCACAGCAATGCCAGTTATTTCACATTAGTTAAGAAATTACAGTGGGAGAAAGTTGGGAGACAATAAACCCAGTTGTGTTGATTCCCTAAGGAAGTTCTGCAAAAACACCACAGATTTCAGCAATATTACTGAGATATGGAAACAGTAGTATTTAGAAGTTCTGAATATCAGATAGTGGGAACAAACAGGAGGAGTACAGCTCCTACAGAGTTTTCAGAGACATTTGGCAAGCTATTATGGGAAATGAAATACTAGTTTAGATGAAACAAGGTTAAATTCTCAGTTTCATCTGTTTGTCTCATTTCAGTCATTGTAACTCTCTTTAAGAGGGTGCTTTGAACCCTGCAGATAGAGCTGGAGGGCAATTTACTTCCTAACAATCAACTGATATACATAGGGATTGATAGCTGTTGTCCAGTTTGTGACCAACTTGATCAGGTCCTTACCTTTTTTCTATGAAAAATGTCAAAATGTCTCTGTAGTGCTTTAAAATAACAAGCAAACTCTTCAAATATGATGCAGTTGCACTGTCTGTGTTACACTCTTGATTTAGATCTCAGAAGCCATCTAAGAGGCATAATAAACAAAATATTAGCTCACTGATGTCCATTTGATTTTTCATTGCCTGCAGGTGGCTTAGTATGAAGTACAGGTAGTCCCCAGTTTAAGAATGAGTTCTGTTCCCAAGGTCTGTCCTTAAGTCGAATTTATATGTAAGCCGGAACAGTATTATTGTGTAATACTGTATAAGTAGTATTATGTAATTCACTCAATCCATTGTGTATTCAACTCTGAATCATTGTGTATTTAACTCAAATTTTGCTACAATAGGCTCTGTTCTTAACTATGGGTCGCCTGTAAACTGGGCATTCTTAACCCAAGGACTCCCTGTACTGAATAAAGAGCTGCATAGAACAGCACCATATAGCAAATATGAATGCTGTTTTTTCAAACTTTTTTTTTATAAACATTACATATTTTCCATATTTTATAGATCTTAATGTAGCAATAATAAAGAAAGCAAATCAGAATTTAGGAAAGGCTGAAAACATGGTTGTTCCAGCAAGCTTGGGGGTGGAAATGTTGTGAGGTTGTTCCTTCTTGCAATGTGATGTTTGTTCAATTATGCGATTTATGTTCTCTGGTGGTAAAATACAGCATTGGTGTTTTGTATTTTGTATTCTCCTTCTTACTTCATAATAGTAATTTTTATCATTTTAACCTGATTTATGGAGGTTGGATATATAAGCTGCTCAGAACTAATACTGATTGGAGCAGTCTGTAACCCCACTAATTGCTTAAATGTTACCAGGTATAGTGGAAATTACAATCAAAAACGTATGAAGGGTAGCAGGTTATGGAAGACTGAGTTAGTTTTTCTAAATCCAAATTGTCATTATTTTTTTAATATATAATTTTTATTGAAGATTTTTACATAGATTAAAAGATGAACATGAAAGTATATATAAAGAAAGGGTAGAAAAAGAAGATAAAAAGTGCAAAAAGCAATACAGTTAGAAAAAGAAAGAAAAAGATAACTAAAGAGGCTACTTCCGATCTTTGCAGTAGCTACAAACAAGCTTATTATCCTTCCTTCCTTTTTAAGATTACATTACAAATATCCCTTCTATCCTGCATTCAACTTTTTTCAATTAGCAAATCCAGAAATCACCATTTTACTTTTTATTTTTTTTTGTAATAACTTTATTAAAAAAAAAAGAACAGTAAAAACTAACAAAAACTAATATTAAGAAAAAGAAGAAGAAGAAGAAAAAAGAAATTAGAAAAAAGGACAATAGTAAAGATCAAGAGTGCAGAAGAAAAGAAAAAAGAAAAAGGATTGACTTCTGACCCTCCTTGCAACAGATATAAGTAACAATATGCATTAAACTCTTGCTCTAAATTAACAACATAACTTCCATTATTTCCATTAACCCATATTATGTCTAATCATCAAATCCATACAACATAATTTCATTTTTTTCTGCTTCCCACAAAAAGTCCAAAAAAGATTTCCAGTTACCATTAAAATTACATAATGTCTTATCATGAATCAAAGCCTTCAATCTTGCCATCTCAGCCAACTCCATCAGCTTCACCATCCATTCTTCCATTGTAGGTAATATCTTTCCACCTTTGGGCATATAAAAGCCTTGCCATTTCTGCTAATTCTACCATCTTTACAATCCATTCCTCCATTGCGGATATTTCAGTGTTTCTCCATCATTGTGTATATGGTAATCTTACTGCAGTTACCATATATAAAATCAATCTTTCTAAATGATTGCCCATAAACCCCAGTAAAAAAGCTCTGGTTTCATCTTAATATTAATCTTCAAAATTCTTGGCATCATCATACGTACTTGTGCCTTTTTTTTTTTTTTTTGCTTTTTCGCAAGTTTACCATGCATGGTAAAATGTCCCTTCATGTTTTTCCCATCTCCAGCATTGACCAGATGTACCTTTACACATCTTAGATAATTTCTCTGACATCATGTACTGTACTAGCATACTTATAGCTCAAGGTCAGTAACACCCATGACAGAACCAGCACTCTATCTTTAACTCCCCATGTCCAAGAAAAGATGGGCCAATCCTCGTGGATGAAGTATCAGCTTTAGGAAAATTTAATTATGATCAACCAAATTGCCTCAACTTTGATTGCCTGCTTTCAGCACAACCATATTTGGTATACAACTGGTCTACCTGCATAGTTTTCTCAAAAATTCAGATGAAGTGGCCTTATAAGCAGTAAAACTGATATATGGACTTAAATGCTTTCCATGTAGGGGCCATGCCAGTGCCTTGCACTCAAACAGCTTGATGGCAGGTAGGACATCTTTGGCTCCTGTAGTATGAAAGAAAGGCTGGGTGGGTGCTGTACTCCTTGGGGCCTTGTGGGGAGTCTCCCTGTGGCATGAAGAACAACTCCCAAATATTAGGGGTAGGTGGTTTGCTCAGTACTGTGGCCATCCATGCTTCAAGCTAATTAGATTTAGCAGTTTAAAAGTGGATAAATAAACTAGTTTTATTTTCACAATAAACCTACACAGACATTATGATCATTAAATATAGGAGAAAAATGTTTTGAATCTTAAGTTTCATTTTTGTTTTGAAATCTTAGATGTTACGCATTTGATGATTTTATGAGGGGAAAATGTAGCCAAGCAGGCCTGGAGCATGCAATATGTAGCTTAAAGATATTCTGAATAAATATTTCCCAATCTGATATCAAAGGCTTCCAAGAATAAAATAACTAATTAAGAATTCCCTACACAAAAGCCTTAAATCTATAATTAATATTATATGGAAGAACTGAAAAAAAAAGTGTCTTAAAATCAGAGATTTAAAAAAGAGCCTCAGCTATGGATGTTTGATGTGCACTCTAGGCGCTTCATATTTAACATGGCAGGCAGTGTGATTAATCTTTGGAGCTACAGCTAATACTGACCCTTATCTACTTGAAATGAATATATTTCAGACAGAGATATCCATGATTTTTGCTTAGTTTTTCTGACCACCAATCTTCATGAAAAATAATGGTCAATCTGGAGGTTGGTGCAAATGTGTTCAGTTTTGTGTGTGTGTGTGTGTGTGTTTTTTGCTTTTTTGCAAGATGGCTCTTGCACTTGGAGCATTCGTCACTCTACATCTCTATTTTCTTTTTAATTCCTAACCCTCTTTTTGCCTGCCTGAAATCAATCATTATCTATCTTTCATGCCTTCCTAAATTGACTAGATGGGCATGGGGAAAAAATATGCTTGACTGAACTCAGGTCATCCAAAACCTAGCAGAGTTTCTAAACAACTGAAGAGTGATGATTTAATTCCTCCTCTGAAAAGCAATGCAGTGAGTGGAGATATTTTTCTTTTTCTAAGTTACCAGTATGATCCTCCTGACTTAGCTGAAGCCAGATCTGGACTCCCTTCCCCCGCAAAGTTTTATGTCCACCTGGACATTCAATCAGCAACGGAAACCCTGACCCATTAGAGCCTTCCCTGGCAGCACCCTTCCATGTGGAAATATTGCCAAAGCAAATCTCATTAGTGGCAGAAACAGTAGCCTCTGTCTATTTAAGTTTTACTTCCATCAATGAAAAATCTGATGTGCTGCGCAGGTGTGCTACGTCTTATCTCTGCCTTTGCCCCCACAACAAAGCCTCTTTTCTAGGCACAGCAAATGCCAACCAGGGCTCCCACAAAGAAACCAGAATGATTTCATCAGCTGGCACTCAGGATCTCTCTGTACCCTCTAAACCAAGTGCTGCATCACCATATGTACTCCAAACAGATCATTTTTTCTAATTGTCAGAAACAATAGAATTAGCAATAATTTTGCTACTTTCTCCTTAAACCAATTATTGCACATTCCAGCTTTGCAAGTGGATCTTGAAATGATTGATTGGCTGCCTGCTAAGACAGTTGCAGAATTGCACTCAAATTTAAACCTCAACAATCTCATGTGTTATTTAAAATGAGGAAATACCTTGCCTTGTTTCAAATTTATCCAAGACGTATATTTGCTGATTTGTCTATCAAGTGTTTGTTTCCTAGCCTTGTGACCTGGCACTGAACCAAGACATGCAATCATATAACACGTACCACCTCTGACCACCTTTCGCCTATTGATGAAATAGTCTTGAAGAACGATAAGTGGGTTTTGGTCAAAGAACGCTTAACCCTCTCAGTGCCAACATTCTTACTAGAAGAAACCTCAGGGCTGAATGCTTTTTTACAGTGCCCAAGTAACAAACAGATGACTATTATGGAAATACCAGACAACTTAAAACAAGCTTTTACTACTTTACATCTCAAAACTTATCTGGGTACAAG